GTTGCGGCCGTGGTCGTGAGGAATGAGCGTATAGAAGCGACTCGAAAGCTCTGCAAGGTCATTCTTGGTCGGTTTTTTGGAAGTTCCGGTACGCTTGCGGCCACGGCCTTTGGCGGGAGCTTCATCCTCGTCGTCTTCATCTTTCGTATCATCCTTGCTGGGCGCTTCGATGGCATCTGCAATATCTTTGAGGGCAGCATAACCACGACGAACGGTGTCCTTAGAGAGCTTGCCAAGTGGTAGTTTGTGGGCATCGTAGTTGAAGTGTCCAAGATGATTTTGGATGTACGCGGGGTTAAAGATGAACTCGACCAATTCCTTGACGGGTTTCTCGAGCTGCGAATTCGGAGTAGCCTCGCGAACTTTTGGCTTGGTGTCTCCATTTCCAATTGCAGCAGCAACCTCCTCTTCCTCTTCTCCTTCGTACTGGAGGTCAATCCACGTGTACTTCGAAGCTTTGGGAGCAGCAGTTCGGCGTTGCTCGAATTGTATCCCGGACTGCAAGGGTATGGGCATCTTTTTGTTCAGTCGAAGCATGCTTCGGGCATACCTTGCTCTTGAATTGATCTTTAAAGAACTGCTCGGCTTCAGCAGCTGGCCAAGGCCCTTTGATTTGGGTTGCACCGTTCTCGCCAACACGACCCCAGCGCGTAAATAAAATGCAGGTAGCATTACTGTTCTTAGGCGCGAGCAGTTGCACAATGTAGAATCTTAACTTATGTCAGTGTCTGAAGCATGACTGTGGGTTTGGGAGGCTTACTTATTATTGTTGTTCGAGATGTTGGTCTATACCCGCAGAATTAGCAACAACCCGCCACCGTTTGCCACAAAACAATGCAAACCTGGTTCAGTGTGGCGTCGTAGATCTCGCCAGACTTGTCTACATAGACGACGTGGGTTGCTACGAAATGTCAGCGATACAAGCCAGCGGATAGCCGCCCTGACTGGCTGCCAGACACGTTGAACACGCACCCTGTTTGCCGGAAAATTCGTCGACCTTGGCCGTACCGCGCTTCTGTTTCTTTGGCTCAGGTGCGTCGCCGCCATCATCCTCCTCGGGTGCCTCCTCTGCATCGCTCAACTCTTCCTTCTTGCGCTTCGAACCTGCAGCTTTCGCCTTCGCGCTGCTTGCCGGCTTTGCCTTGGCCGCTGGCTTAGAGGCTGCTGCTGCCTTGACTGCTGCTGCGCGCCTAGGAGGCATGTGAACGAACGATGGGGAGTGTGGACAGGTTAAGGAGCAGAAAGCGGAAGTTGGAATTTCGTGGCGTGTTGCCAACAAGGTTGTCTATCCGCAAGTGGCAATGCGCCGATACGCACCGCCCAAACCTGAACTTGATCGGCTGAGAATCCGGGCCAAATGTGGCGGCGGATTTGTCTGAGGAGATCCTTTCATGTTCGACAGCACTTGAGAAAAGGTAGAACTTAATAATGACTCAAGCTAGTACTCTACATCGATCCACATATATTTTTCCTTCAATGGAGATGTTGACCTTCGATTTTCGAAATTGATCCCAGTCTGGAGTAACATCCGCTTCAGCTTCATACAAAGACAAGTTCAAATTTAGGCAATATTCGCACCTTTGATTTGAAAAACGTTTTGAATTCAAGTATTGCATCGTTCAATGGCATCGGTCCCGCCGTTTGCGACGCTCCAAATTCTCCGACTCGGCCCCAGCGAGTAAACACGAAAAGCAACTGTCAATTGATGAGTTGTTGAAGTTTCGCGTAGCTAAAATATGGCGTGCGTCTGGTTCGGTTGACTCCTTCCGTTGCAGGACCTGGATCACCGCGAATCTTACAAGATTTATCAATAAAGTACGACTGCGCGGAACTGAGACTTACTTGTTGTTGTTTGTGGAAATGCTAGTCTAGATATCATGAATTGAGTGAGCAGGTATTATTGCGCACATATTCAACAGACAAACCAAGCACATGATGCTGTCGTAGATTTCAGCGCTCCCATCAACATAAACGCGATGCGTGTCTTCAAAACATAGGTTCAAAATACAGACTTCCCCCTGAGATTGCTACAAACCTTGCATGCCCGAAAGCTGGTCCACTTGAGCCACTGGCTGGCTCTTAGCCTTGACAGGCGCTTTGCCATCTTGCAAAATGGCCGCAGGCGGCGCTACAGAGCTACGATTTGGATTCCGAGAAAGAGCATGCTAGGGGCTCACTTGTTGCGTTGTAAGCCACGGTCGCCGGTCTGAGTGCTTCCACGTCTTTGGACATGCGGTTGCCCAGGTCGAGGGGAAAGGGAGAGTTTGCTGAAACCGGCACGAAGGTGTCTCCGAGGTCTCCCAGATCAAGCATAGCTCCAGATCGTCAAGAGTGGCTGCGCATCAATCTCTAGTAGCTGCAGAGAAAGGTTCTCGCAGTAGTATATGCAGAGCGAGGTAAATAGGAAGGCGTGGATCATCAAAAGTCATAAGTTACAGCGTAGATCAAGTGAGCAGTACAATGCGCAATAACTCGCTCAGAAGCCAAAGACGGCTGCTATCAAGTCCCGCCAGCTTCTACGCACCACCACCTTTCTGCCCGCAGCCAGTTCAGTCTTCTCCGCAAGCCATTGCGCGAATCGGGCGTCGAGCTCGCTGAGAGGACCGAGCTCAAGTGCCATCAGGTCGCGCACGCTGAGGACGATACTGTCGCCTCCAGAATAAGCAATTCCCTGGCCAGTTGAAACAGGTTGAGCATCTAGTTGAAGAATCTCGCCAAGGCGATCGAGCAGAAACGCGGTGTGCGAATGGAAGACTTGGAGTAGCAACAGTGTCATGTGCACCTGGTGCTGGATCTTCGGCCTCCCATCATGGGCTACAAGAGACGAGCCCTCTGGCGGCGCAGGCGCGGGAGGAAGTGTCCCTGCCGCTGATGGCGCCGGATTAGGACTAGGCTGTCGTGCAGGGGACTTGGTGCTGGACGTCGAAACGGGCCGCTTGGACTTGTCACGCTTGCCTTCGATCCCTTGTCCAACTTTCCGGACATTGACACCGTAAATGAGCGCCTCGTCTTCGCCGTCTAGCTGCGGCCCGCCGGCGTCTACGCGAGCAGCGCCTGCCCAGGCGCCGCGAATGCCGTTCAGCCATACGGCGGCACAGACTATGCATGCTTCTTCATACACACGCCAAGGATCCATCCAGGACGTAGCCATGGAAGCTGCTGCTGTAGAATTTGTGCGGGAGAGACCCTGTGTAGAACCCATTGAAGGGGTTGAAGAAGGTGGTGCATGGATGTGTTCGACGATAGGGGGCTCATCAGCCGTCGCGTCTGGTGGGGCTTCTGTGTGCAAGACCTTGTCCAACGAGTTCCACTAGGAGATGCCAATGAGTCAGCGTTCCAGTTCAGCAGATTGGGCTTACCAGACGAACGTCGCTCCAAGTGAAGCGCACTGGAGACAGACGGTGCGTGGCCTTTTTCGTGCCAACGGCTGCGGGATTGTACCGGGACGAGTACAGTGTTGGCCTAGATTGCGTTGCCCAATTCGCAGTAGACATGTCGATCAAGAGGTCGTACAAGTTGGGCTTCTCCTTGAAGATGGCGTCTGTTGTGCCTACAAAATGTGTCAGCCAGGCGACCTGTTGCAGAGAAGGCACGCACAGGCAATCCATCCAGAGCCGACCCAGGTCTCAGACTGCAGTCTGTCGAGGTCGTTGAGGGTGATTAGTCCAAGGACGCTCGGCGGCTGGGCGAGGTATGCATGTCCCGTGCCGGCTTGCTGGCGCTCACGGTCGCCAAAGCACATATCCGCCGCAATATATGCGAGGATACAGGCGGGCTCAACGGGCGGCTGAGTATAAATCAACACCCTTCGCCGCGCGAGCACATGTTTGTAGAGTGTCAGAGATGATGGACCGAGAATGCGCAGCAAATGTGGAAGGTGTAGTGCTGGGTGGCTTGCCTGGGCGATCGAAGATGGTTTCAGCACAGGTCGATTCGCACTGTGCGAACGAGAGGAGGAAGAGGGCGCACCGGATATCGTGTCAGTTCGTCCTCCCAGGTGAGCTGCTCGTTGTTCAGGCCAACGTCAGGCCGCAATCTCCGCGTCTCCCACCAGCGCTGAAGTGGAGCCCAATCCCAACCTTCGCCGCGTTCGGACACTACACGCGCAATCTCCTTCAACGCAGGCAGGTGGCGCCATGGGAACGAGCGAGCGGCGTTGGCTACGAATATTCCTAGCGATTCAAGTCGAAAACCGCGTGCACCTTGCTGATGGTCGAGCACCGAGCATGAGTGACTGTTGCAGCTTGTACACCACTAGCTCACCTCATCAGAAGGACGACGAGTAAACACGCTCACGCCGCGGTAGCCGTCACGGGAAAAGTATCTGTACAGGGTCGATGACAGGTCTCGTGAAGAGAAGAAAGTATGCGCACATCACATCGTTGTCGAGCGCGTGCAGACCAGACGGGAGCGCAGTAAACTCAATACCGTCAAGACTCAGAGAGGCTATCGAAAGGTGCGTTAGCGCAAAGTCTACCTGTAACTGAAATGACGCACCGTCGGGCACCTTCTGTGACCAGGACACGATGTAACCCTGCGTTGGATGGAAGGACGCATGGAAGACGGAGACTGTAGACGAAGTTGCCAGTGGTTTAGAGTAGAGGGATAGCCATAGAGATAATGCTGACCAATATCGGAAGGGGTCCTCCACGCAGAGGATGTGGAGGCCATCCGCGCTCACTAATGGAGCAGTTGCCAAGTTGTGCCGGAAGGGCGGATGCAGATCACTCGCGTCTTCTGCTCTAGTTTCGAACTGAAGTTCAACTAAGTTCAAATGTTAGTAGTCGACAGAAAGCCATATTGCTTTATGATTCAGCTGATAGAGCTAGTGTCGATTATGTGTAACATCGGTGGCAGGGGCTGGTTAGACACCACGACTCGGAGACGTGTCCACATACACCGACAAAATTCCGTCACTTTATAGCCTTACTATGTACATAGCTGTGACGACGAGTAAGAAAAATAACACCTCAACGAGGCTGAAAGAAACAGCAAAAGTATGACAACCGTGAGATTCGAACTCACGCCCCAGAATCTGAGACCAGGACCTGAACCTGGCGCCTTAGACCACTCGGCCAGATTGCCTTGCTGAAAGATGCTAAAATTTGCCATACTCATTTTGTGCTGTAGCAGCGGTGGAATAAATTACTGCTATCCGTTGCCAGCTATTACCCTGGGCAACAGAGCTAGCTACACATTTGATACCGACAAAATTGTGATATGATTGTTGTAGCGAGCTTGTAACAGAGGCCAACCAACTGAGCAAGTTGGTCATGATCAGTTTCCAGAAGCAACAAATAATCTGACATTCGCACCTGAGGGTCATGTGGAACACCATCCAAGTTGAGGCCAGGACGTGTCAACAATTGAATCCGGAGTCACGCTGAGCCTGAAGTCTGTTCCCAACTCTGCCGGCCACGTTCAGGACACGATCTCCAAAACCCGTCTGCGATGGTGGGAGTCTCTGATGCTAATAACTACATATATAGGCTAACAACTGCACACGCAGCCGTCTGCGCAGCCCAAGTCGAGCGTTGCGCTCGAGACTCATCATGAGGACATGATCGTATGCACGCCGTCGAAAGTTGTTCCAGCGTATATTGTTTTGACCCCCACACCCTCCAGCATGACTCGCAGTTGGATTATCACGGAAAGCGTCTTGCCACGTGCTCAAGTGACCGCACTGTCAAGGTCTTTGATGTTGTTGACGGCGAGCCTAAGAGCACCGGACAAACTCTGAAGGGGTGCGTCGTAAGCGCTTCAAAAACCCGTCCCGATAATTAACGCGTCTCATGCAGGCACACCGGCCCAGTGTGGCAGGTTGCATGGGCGCACCCCAAGTTTGGCAACATTCTCGCCAGCTGCGCGTACGATGGCAAGGTGTTCATTTGGAAGGAGCAGAACGCCAACTGGACCATCATCCGCGAACATGGCATGCATTCTGCCAGCGTAAACTCGGTCTCATGGGCCCCTCATGAGCTTGGTGCAATTGTCGCATGCGCATCCAGCGACGGCCGACTTTCCGTCCTCACTTTCAAGGGTGCGTGTCCACTCGTCACCGCTAGCGCGACCTTCATCTGACGCACCTTGTAGACGATGGTCAATGGGACGTCGTAATGTTTACGGGACATGCGATCGGCTGCAACGCAGTCTCGTGGGCACCTGCAGTTCTGCCTGGTTCGCTCATCGTACCCCAGCCAGGTGCACCAAGTAAGCCTGACTACTTACACCAGTATCAAAGCTCAATGAACTTCGCAGCTGTCCCTGGAAACGCATCTGCATCCCTTCCTACCGTCAAGCGCTTTGCAAGCGCGGGCTGCGACAACCTCGTTAAGATATGGGGATTCCGCGAGGATACCGAAAAGTGGGTCGAGGAGGAGATTCTCGACGGCCACACTGACTGGGTGCGCGACGTTGCGTGGGCTCCCAATATCGGCCTCCCTCGCTCGTATATTGCAACAGCCTCGCAAGACAAGACCGTGCTTGTCTGGACAAAGGACTCGCAGAATTCACCGTGGCAGAAGACTGCGCTCGATGGAGGCAACGGCGGCAAGTTCGCCGATGTCGTCTGGCGCGTCTCGTGGAGTCTCGCGGGCAACATCTTGGCTGTCAGTTGCGGAGATGGCAAGGTCACCCTCTGGAAGGAGAACCTGCGCGGCGTGTGGGAGTGTGTCAGCGAGATGAACTCGTAGAGTGATCGAATGTGTTTCTGACTGGATGAATGAACATTCTCGATGACAGACGTGGCAAAGGTGGCCAGAGAAAAATTCCTTCAGGAATGAACGACAATGAACATAAATAGTACTTCCGGTTATATAATTGGCCAATTTTTAAATGTTGTTAGTATTTTGTTGAGGAAGCTTGAGCCATGGCGTCAAGGTGCTAGGAGGATTTAGCGGCAGATTGCCGACAAGTCTCAGCGCGTCTTGTCTCAAACCCGCCATGTCAACCTCGTCACGTCGCGGCCGTGGTGGCACAATCTCGCGCGTTGGCATTCCTGATGGCCCCTGGCGCGGTGGTGGACGTGGCGGCGCGGTATTTCGTCGAGTGCGGCCGATACAGGGCGACAATGGCGACGACCAAGCAGCAAACGACAGCACTGCGCCGACCGCGGAGCTGGGTGAAGACGAGGCGGAGCAGCGCGGGCTTTCGGGAAACATCTACCTGCAGGTGCGTGTCCTCGCTGACTCTGCTCGCAGTACGTATGTGGAGATCTCGACCCCGTGCAGTTGAAGAACCAGCGTCAGGCGGAGCAGGAGCGCTACATCGCCGAGAAGAAAATGAACGACCCGTACAAGCCGGTCAGGCTTGCGGACGCTATCACCATGGTCGGCGAATGTATGGACATGTGCCCCGTCTTCGAACGGCATGAGCGCGAGTTCCAGAATAACGTTGACCGCTGGGAAGCAGTTAGTCACACCCCAGGTCTTCCGACCACTCGCTCATACTCTGTTCAAGATCAACCCAGACGCTAAACCCAGACGAATCAATCACGAACTTGCTGTCAAGGCGTTTCAACGTGCCACTCAAGGGAGCGAGTCGATTCCGTCAGACCTCAGGCCATTGCCTGTTCTTCAGGTTCTCCCTATCGTCCTCCGCAAACGTTCATCCACCACTCACTGTCCAATTTTCGCAGAAAACACTTAACTACCTGTTTCACACGCTTCTGGGACACCATGGACTCGACGCGACCCGCAAGTTTATCTGGGACCGCACACGGGCCATTCGCAAGGAATTCACTATTCAACAGCTCACCGGTCCACCTATTGTTGAGATGTTGGAACGGATTGCGCGCTACCACTGCCTCTGCCTCTTTCGTTTTTCCCACCTGGATGAGGACAACTTTTCGATCAAGCACGAGCGAGAACAACTTGACAAATGTATGATCCACATTCCACACACACCGCCTTACTCACAGGTTTGCAGCTCTCCAGTCCTTAATGGAGCTGTACGATGATAATAAGAAACTTGGTCATGTGTTCCCAAATGAAGCCGAGTTTGTGGCATTTCGCGACGCTCGCCCTGCGTTTTACGGAGGTTGGTGAAGCTCTCTTTGAGAGCAGGCTTTCAGAACTCAACCTCATTCGTAACAGCTTTTCAAAAAATTCGCGCTTCCAAGACAGCACTGCTGCCAAATCCAGGCGACCCCAGTGAAGTGAACATCATCGACGGGTTCTATCAGCCGATTCCACAATCATCCCTGCCTCCATCTGCGCTGGCTGGGATTCCCATGCAAGCGAGTCTTGGAGCAGCGCCAGGGTCATACACTCCCACACGTGGGGATGATATGTTCACAACATCTGCTGGCCCAAGCGGACCACAAGCCCCAGTCAACATATTTGCCTCCGTTCCTACTTCCGTCCCTACCAAAGAACCAGCCGCAGCGACGTCAAGCATATTTGGCACCAGTTCTTTCTTTGGCGGCGGCACGTTTCCTCAATCTTATACAGCTGGGTCATCCTCGTCTGCGTTTCCAAGCAGCGCGCCAGCATCAACGGTCCAGTTTCCTTCGGTGACGTTTCAATCGTCAGCCGCTGCACCGGTTCCTGCATTTCCCTCCCTTTCATTCCCGGGTTCAGGCTTTCCGTCATCAGCACCAGTACCAGTACCATCAACTGAGGCCGCAACCGCATTCCCTTCATCGGCTCCTCGTTCAGAATTGTCGGCCTCTACAAGCACACCTTCACAAGTAGGATCTCTAGGCATTGTGAATGCTTTGGTGTCTTCTGCATACTTGAAGAACTAATTTCTGCGTTCTCTTTAGTATTCGTCACCCTTGAATATGAGCTTGTTTTCCAATGCTGGGGCGTCTACTTCAGCGCCGCTAAGGCCACCACCAATTACAGCCGAACCTGCGGCTCCTGCAGGGCCTCAGTATCATCAAGCACCACATGGCCGGGCTCGATGTTCTCTTCAGCCATCCCAACTTCAAGCGTACAGCCTGCGACCGAAATACCTGTAGAGGTGTTATCGCAGCGCTCTATCGAGGCGAAGCGACTTGCAGCTCTTGAGGCTAATGCCGAAGCAGCAGCGCGGGAAACTGCTCTACGTCAAGCTGCGATGGCAAAGGCCAAGGCAGAATACGAAGCAGCTGAGCAACGCCGCCGCGAAGAGCAAGCACGGTCTGCTGAACACGAACAGTCCCTGAAGCAGAAGCTTCGTGAACGCGCCGAAAACGAGAGGCGGAAGCGCTTGGCCGAGGAGGAATCCGAAGCAAACCGACTCGCACAGGCCGAACTGGAGGAGGCAGCTGAGTTCGCTAGGCGACAACACGCAGCCGACGAGATTGCGCGTGTCGAACAGGACGAGCGGATGCGCCTGGCGGAGATGCCGCTGAAAGCCGATTCATTCTATCGTGCGCGTGCGTTGAGGAGATGTTGGAGGCAATGGCTGCAGAGGGCGGTTGCCGTGGCGATGATCGCAGAGCAAGAGGAAAAGTTGAAGAGAAGGAGAGAGGAGTTCAGCCAAAGCATACGAAATTTGGTCGCGGGAGGAGGCTCACCAACTCGCCCAAGTAGTCATGGGCTTCGCGTTCGACCTCGGACAAGTATAGTCTCCGCTGCTGACCAGGCCACAGCACTGCAGAAGGTAAATTTTCGTAACTGTCGTTTTGCCGCCGCTGGTTGACCGTCCTCCAGGAATCCGAGCAACATGCCAAATTGTGGGCTCCTAACACGTTCGCGGCCTGTCTTCAGCAACACTTGGGCGGGATTCCGCTCTGGGAGGTCTGGGTTTCGCCTGCATCACTTGAAGGTGCCTCATCTGGTTGGCTGCGAACTAAGTTCGGCGTCTTCAATGAACCTGGACCTCTTCACCGCCTCTCACTCTTCACCGACATCTCAAAAGAGTTTTTCAGCTCGCCAAGCTCTCCTGGGCTTATCATCTTTGAGCCGAGCGACAATCCAGTGGCAGATCAGCACCGTCTTCGCACCATTGTGGGCCAGATACCTACTCACGCACACTTCTCCCCAAGTTTGCTCCTCGTCAAGTTCTCAGGACCAGAGTCGGCGGTCGGCGAAGCTCTGAAGAGCTCGGTAAGCGATTGGCACTGGATTGGGGAACCCAGACTAAGACCTGCGAACAGA